GTGGGTTTTTCCGTTATCTTATGCTGGCCAGTTAGTTATATGTCAGCCTGTACATCTAAATTCGGCCAATCATATATCAACGGTCATCTGTCAGTCAAATTTTTTTCAGTCATAGCATCTTGATTCATTTGTCACAGCTAATATATGCTATGGTTGAAATAAGAATCATTTACTTTACCATAGAGTTCCGTCCCATTGTTCACGGGGATGGACGTCTGTGCCTTCGGCAGGCATAGAGCTAACAGAACTGCCAGCGTTGCGAGGCAAGGGCTCAAACATTTACAGCTGTAAGCCTTCTACACCAAACAAAGCTTCTGCCGCCCTGGCGTCCTCTTCCACAACAACTTCGTCCCGCTTTCCTCTTCTAAAAAAAAATGTATGACGGAGGAGACTCATCCACAACCTCAGACACAAAACTTTCCTCCTCTTGAATGTTTCCGCTGTACATAGTGTTCTTTGACAGTGTCGTTGCCAAGTGCTACTTGGTCCCAATGTAATTTCACATTGGGAACCTAGTAGCACTAAGTTGCTAACTAGTTAGCAAGATGCTTCCGACAAATCGGCCACAACCAAACTTGCTTGCGAACCTTCCGCCACAACAATCCCTTTTGATAAACGACCAATCACATTCACTTTATTTACTTGTGTAAATATGGGCACCGCTCGGGAGAATTCGGAAATGCAATGGTTGGAACAGCCACTTCCCTACGACTTTAAACCAGCACATGTCAAGGCCCATCTTAAGTTTGCCAATGACCATTTGGATGATCCAGAGGAATCATGGGAGGAAGTCATGCGGTCAGATGAGACCAAAATAGAACGTTTTGGTCATATTTCCACTAACCGTGTTTGGAGGAAGAACACCATCCCTACTGTGAAGCATGGGGGTGGACAGGGCAACTGCACTGTATTATGGAGAGGATGACCGGGAGCCATGTATTGTGAGATTTTGGGGAACGAGCTCCTTCCCTCAGTCAGAGCATTGAAGATGGGTGGAGGCTGGAATTTCCAACATGACAATGACTTGAAGCGAAAGACAAGCTTTGCAGGGAGCTCAACCTCCGTGTTTCTCAGCAACAGCCCTGAAACCTGGCTGATCTAGAGAAGATCTGTGTCGAGGAGTGGGCCAAAACCCCTACTGAAGTGTGTGCAAACCTGGTGAAAAACTCCAGGAAATGTTTGATAACATAGATTTTCTGAGGTGTTTAAATACTTATTTGCAGCTGTATCATAAAAATAAACAGTTGAAAAATCATACATTGTGACTTCTAGATTTTTTTTAGATTATGTCTCTTACAGTGGACATGCACCTACGATGACAATTTCAGACCCCTCCATGATTTCTAAGTGGGAGAACTTGCCAAATAGCAGGGTTTTCAAATACTTATTTTCCTCACTGTATAATAGATTGGTTTAGATCACTACTTTAGATCATGCTTTTCATCCAGTCTGACATAGCCTAGTCTCTGGGTGGGACATCCCACTTGAAGACCTGCAACGGTACCTGCAGCAAAAGGTGACTGCAAACTGTTGACTGAAAAGGAATTAATATAAAAGGATCTCTTATTCTTCAAATCTCATAATTTTTACTAATTTTATGTTATACACTCAATTATACTGGTGTGTGCCATGGATACAGTGAAAAAATGTAAATTCAAATTTTCATTTACAGAGTAGACAACAAACCTGTGTGGGGCATGAAAGAGTTGATCCCTTTGCATATTTATACCTAAATATAAACTCTATAAAAGTAAAATAATAATCCTATGTGTTCCTTTGGCATTACAAATGTCTAAATATAAAATAGGGTGGCAGCAGTAGCAAAGCCATTCCACAGACAACCTGTTTATAGCTAACAATTTAATGCCTGGAGGACTCTGCCAGACTTCCTCCCCTCTGAAAAATAAAGGCAGAGCTGTTTGGACCCTATCATTGAAAGTCTCTTCCTCAAACTCAAATAAAATATTTAACCCACATAGCAGATTTTCATACCACAATTAAAACTTTGTAAACTAACCTTAAGGACGTCCTTTTTGACTATGCCTCTGTAGAAGTCTCTGCCCAACGGGGAGATCTCCGTTTTGGTGTGGGACTCCTTGGTCCCCGCCAGTAACATCTCAGAGAGGTCAGCCGAACTTGTTGAAACAAAGAAAAAGAATTTGAAATTCAAACACTTCACTTCGGTTCAAACACTGGGATAATGTGAAGAATGAAATTTTTGATTATTGAAACTATCATCTGTACCTTAATGGTGTGTCCATCTTTGCACTTTACAGATGTTTCACCTTAAAGAGAAAAGAAAGACGAACTGAATTCGATACTGTTTACCATGTTCTTCTAATGATGATTTTGATTTATGATTATTTTAATAATGAATCAGTATGCCACCCTACAATCAGAAGTTCACATACTTTCATCTACATGTGTTTTTTTTTTTGTCTATAGCTGGATGTAGGGGTGTAAGAAAATATCTATTTTGTCAAATATCACAATATTTAATTAGACCATTATGATACCGATTAAAAATAGACTGAATGGATCTTAAATGTAAAAAATATTCATTGTCATAAATCCATTTAATTGCCTTACTTTTCTATAACTTTTAAACCCCCAACCACTGAGTGGCAGCGCAACGCCCATGAGCCTATTATTAAGCGGTTCTGCACCAGCCGCTCGGCTATAATATTATAAAAGTCACAATATATCGTCTCCATTAAGGTATGGAGATATGTTGGGATAGATAGATCATATCCAAACAAATGTATCGTGATATATATCCCATTGCCAAATTCTTCTCAATTCCCACCCTTAGTTAGGTGGGATTCTTACTGCTGTTTTTTACAACATAGAATGACAGAAAAACATAAAACCCTTAAGCTTTTTTTTAAATATCCCAACTGCACTCAGAGATTTAAAACTAATGTGGACTCAAACCTGTCCTCCTATGGTTTTACATTAAGTTGTCTTTTTTAGCAAAGCATATACAGTTAATATATCTTTCTAAAAAAATTTAACCCATATGTAATTTTAGCAATGACTTAAAGGGCAATCTCTGCCTACGGCAAATACCAGAACTTTCTTAGACGGCTGGCTTGTATTGGCAAATTTATCAAAAATTTGAACAGCAGGTTGCTAATGGTAACAAGAAGCACGTAGTTAAGATGCAACTTTTGATTAAATATCAATATATTTTTTACAAAAAAATAGAATAGAAATTAGCTTTATTGCCCCTGAGGGTAAAAACGTATGTTTTCAAACAGAAAAAGCAAGCAAAAAAATTATGGTAGTTTACTCAACGAATAAAAATAGCAACAGAAAAATATGAAAAGGAGTTTGTGCAGTAAGGACAATTTCCAACATAA